CCCCGATGTCCATGCGATATTGCAGAGCCGTGTCAACCAACACAGTCCCACAACATCCAGAGCCTTAAGGAACTCCGGGCGGATCTCATCTACCCCGGAGCCTTGCCACAGAGGAGCTTTTTAACAACCTCAGTGACCTCAGCACCAGAGATTTGAGAGGCCAACCCAAAGTCCCCCAGACTCTGCTTCCTCACTGGAAGACGTGTCGGTGGGATTGAGGAGGTCTTTGAAGTATTCTGCCCACCGATCCACAACGTCCGTATTAGAGGTCAGCAACACACCGTCCCCACTATAGATAGTGTTGGTAGCGCACTGCTTTCCCCCCCTGAGGCGCTGGATTGTGGACCAGAATCTCCTCGAAGCTGTATGGAAGTCTTGCTCCATGGTCTCACCGAACTCCTCCCATGCCCGGGTTTTTGCCTTGGCAACAACCCGTGCCATTTTCTGCTTGGACTGCCGGTACCTGACAGCTGCCTCTGGAGTCCCACAGGCCAAAAAGACCTGATAGGACTCTTTCTTCAGCTTGACAGTATCCCTAACCGCCGGTGTCCACCAGCGGGTTCGGGGTTGCCATCACGACAGGCACCGACGATCCTGCGACCACAGCTCCGGTCAGCCGCCTCAACAATGGAGGGACGGACTCAATGTCCCCCGCCTGCCCCGGAACATTTTGGAAATTCTGTCGGAGGTGGGAATTGAAGCTCCTTCTGACAGGAGACTCTGCCAGACATTCCCATCAGACCCTCACGATACGTTTGGGCCTGCCTGGTCTGACCAGCATGAGCATCCTCCCCCACCATCTGAGGCAACTCACCACCAGGTAGTGGTCAGTTGACAGCTCCGCCCCTCTCTTCACCCGAGTGTCGATAATCGAGCTGCGGCCTAAGGTATCCTGGTGCCAAGAGCACATATGGACACCTTTATGTCTGAACATGGTGTTCATTATGGACAATCCATGACTGGCACAGAAGTCCAATATCAAAACACCACTCGAATTCAGATCAGGGGGGGTCATTCCTCCCAACCACACCTCTCCAGGTCTCACTGTCGTTGCCCACGTGAGCGTTAAAGTCCCCCAGTAGAACAAGGGAGTCACCAGAAGGAGCGCTTTCCAGCACCCCCTCCAAGGTCTCCAAAAAGGGTGGGTAGTCTGAACTGAAGTTTGGTGCATAAGCACAGACCACAGTCAGAACTCGTCCCCCCACACGTAGGCGGAGGGAGGCTACCCCCTCGTACAGGCACCAAGATGGGGGGCAACTAGTATGCCCACCCCTGCTCGGCGCCTCTCAGTGAGAGCAACTCCAGAGTGGTAGAAAGTCCAACCCCTCTCAAGGAAACTGGTTCCAGAGCCAGAGCCATGCGTTGAGGTGAGTCTGACTATATCTAGTCGGAACCTGTCAACCTCACACACCAACTCAGGCTCCTTCCCCACCAGAGAGGTGACTATCCATGTGCCAAGAGCCAGCTTCTGCAGCCGAGGCTCAGACTGCCAAGGTCCTCGCCCTCGACTACCACCCGTCACACACTGCACCCGACCCATCTGGCCCCTCCCACGAGTGGTGAGCCCATGGGAAGGGGGACCCACGCTTCCTCTTCGGGCTGTGCCCGGCTGACCTCCATGGGTGAAAGTCCGGCCACCAGGTGCTCGCTAACGTGCCCCACCTCCAGGCCTGGCTCCAGAGGGGGTCCCCGGTGACCCACGTCCAAGCGAGGGAGCACGGTTTCCATTTACATAATTCATCATAAGAGGTCTTCGGGCTACTAATAAATGATATTAAAATGTGTTTTTAAGTGAACCACGTCTTTCAATCTGAAGGACACTAGTTACACATCATCATAGTAAGATAATAAGGCATTTTATGATTCTTCCTAGTTTGTTATGACATTGAAATTTCCATTAGAACAACCTGGAACAAATGATCCAGCATTTAAATCCTAAACTGGAGTAAATGATCATTCCAGCATAAAGGAACCATTGATAGTGGGATTGGGCTGCTCCCTCCCCAAAGCAACAATAAAACCTTCCTGACATCTACCAAATGCACAAACCCAAACAGGAGCTGAATTTGTTGAGATAAACAAATAAAGCTGAAAGTTCAGGTGACTCTTCTAATTGGATTTGAATCCTAAAGTGAGTGAAGTTCTGTGGACTAACAAACCACCTACGTTTATGTTTATGTATTTAGCAGATGCTTTTGTCCAAAGCGACTTACAAGGAACCACCTGTATCAGGGACATTTGGGATCAATAACAGCAGCAGGTCTCTATATCCAAAGATCGCTGAATGAGAGGCGGAGTGCACCCGGGACACATCTTTTAGACTTCATCCAAGGACTTAGCATCAAATGCACACACACCCCCACACACTCTGATGAGTCCTTCCCAGTGCACAGGCAGAGAATTTGAATAATTTCACAGATAATTTGGTCCTCACAGTCAGGCAAAAGTAATAACAACTTTACAGAGAGAAAGAGAGCAAGGACTGAACCGAATCACCCACGGCCTGCTGCTACGGTTAAGCCAAAGTAGTTTTTCTAAAGGAAAATGAAGTTCGTCTTTAAGCTTGATGAAGAAAAGTGAAACATTGTCTCCAATCCTCCTCCTCCTCCTTCCTTGCATCATTCAGCTTGACCTTCTGTGAAAACCGTGATGTATCTCCAGGTCTCCTGCCGTAAAAATGTGTGTATTATTTTCAGACGTGCTGAGCCGACACACATCTGTTCATTTCCAGACTCCTTTGATAGACAGCAATTGTGATGCTGCCAAGATTCCACACACTCACCTGGAGACATCTGGCGCCCATTTCCACCTCCAACAAAGCATCCACATAGGATGAAGCACACTGGGAATGCCGCTCATCACTCAGCAGCCTCCAGTCTTTTGTCCCGTCCTCTGAAAACCTCAGAGTTGTACATCTTTCCATAAACGCACAAACCTGTGTGAGCATATGGGGTTTTAAAGCTCCAACTTTACAGGAACATAAACATCGCTGCTGCTTTATTGTGACTGGATTATAGATGCACAAAGTAGCTACGTGTCTGATGACAGGAACAGGATCTCTTTTGTCACTTTAGAGTGAATAACCTGGGCTCTAGGCAAGATGTTGATGTTTGCTCACATGTTTGAGAAGAGGAGGCAGTTTTTTCATGTCTTTGATCAGTGTGTGTGTGTGTGTGTGTGTGTGTGTGCGTGCGTGCGTGCGTGCGTGCGTGCGTGCGTGTGTGTGTGTGTTTGCGTGCGTGCGTGCGTGCGTGCGTGCGTGCGTGTGTGTGTGTGTGTGTGTGTGTGTGTGTGTGTGTGTGTGTGTGTGTGTCAGATGGACGCAGCGTGAAGGTGCAGCAGAGACAACAGCTTTGGCTGTGACTGCATCACACCAGCGTTTTGGCTGTCAGATGCTGCTCCATTAGCGCGCCACACATTTGAATAAAGCTATTAATAAACCCAACAGCATCAGGTGCATCGTTAAGCTGCATAATAACACCAGAAACGGATTTTTGTGTTGACCACCGTCTGATACGTGGACTGTTATAGTAGCGCTGAAGCCGTAGTCTGTTCTGACACAGAAGAATCACCATGTTTTAGATGAATTAGCCTAATTAATGACCTAATTAGCATAACTGTTATGTTTAATTTATCATGGTGATTACAGTGGGGCATTAGGCAGCTTTATTCACCTCTTGTTTGTGCTTGGCTTAATGAATTTACCCAAACATGGAGCTCATATCCGTGTGTTTGTGGGATTTAGAGAGAGGCTCTAAAGTCAGAGCAGGGAGGAGCTCTTTGTGTTTTTCTGCTTTGGTTCTTTTATCTGGAACAACTAATATCCTCTCACTAAATACATCCCATAGTTTATTCGACCTGCAGCAGGATTAGTACTTTCCTTTAAATGTTATTGAATTTTAAACCAATTTATTAAAATCTCTATGTGTCTGCTGCCCTCTGGTGGAAAAACTAAGTACTGCACGTTACAAGTGCAGAACTATAAATAATAAGAAACTATGTAAAGTTAACACATCATACATAATATATGGTTGTAAATTAAACAGTTTATTATTGTCATTAGGTCTTTGATAAACTGTCAGATTTAATATTTACCAAATATTTTAATGTTCAGGTTTAAATGGGGACGTTCTTTAAAAAATGTAATAGATAAACAAGAAATATGGTTGTTATAGTAACATCTGTCCTTGATCATTATCGGAAAATAATGGAAAATGTAATTCCTCTCTTTGCCACGAGATGGCATCATTCCCATCTGAGTGTCTGCCTGAAGCCTTGGTAGTGACTTGGCGACAGTAGTCTTTTATAGACAATGTGAGAGCTCCCAATGAGATTTTCACATAGTTGATCTGATATTTTTATTTCTGAGCCAAATTTCCAGCCTTTTTTTAAATATTTTTAATGTATTTTATCTTTCCAGCTCATGCTCCCTACGTCTGCCATAGAGCCTGTGCTTATTGTATTCCGTGATCCAGGTTTACAGTGTACCCACTAAGAAGAACACAATACTCTTTAGCTCTGAGGACACTCATCTCTAATGAAGGACCCACTCTGTGTAACTCTGAACCTCACACTGTCACTTCACAAGTGTTCACCACCCACTGCATGAGCCTACATGAACATGGCATCTCTCTAATAAAGGTCTAATTAGATGTCCCATTCACTGCGTCAGTTAGCTGCAGAACAGATTTATGTCTTTGGAGGAATAATCGGAGGTCCTTGATAGCATTCATGAGAGGTAAATGTCAGCTGGCAGCAGAACGGTTGAGCTGCTGTTAAAGTCAGCTGGTCTGAAGGACTGGTGATAGTAGACATGACTCGGAAAACGTGAATGATTTCTAAATATTTGACAAATTCCATGAAGCACAGAGTCTGTGTTCTCCTCACCTGCCTGTGGCGTTCAACTGCAGCTTCTTTTTTCAGTTTAAATAATTAAAATACAAAATTCTAAGTTCAAACTTAAATGTCCTCATCTAGTCTCTCCTGTGTTCAACATGCAGGTTTCCTCAGCACTGGAGACCAGTCTGCTAAAGGGAACTACGGCCTGCTGGACCAGATCCAGGCTCTACGTTGGCTCAATGAGAACATCGGTCACTTTGGTGGAGACCCAGAGAGGATCACCATCTTTGGTTCTGGAGCAGGAGCCTCCTGTGTGAACCTCCTTATCCTGTCACACCACTCAGAAGGTCATTAACATGTCCTGTTCTCCTGTTGTGTCTGACTTGTTTACTGGTGCAGGGACTGGTTTCATCTACATGCTGTTTGGTTACTGGATTTCTCTAAATGGAAGGGTGCAGTAGAGATTAAGGTCCAAAGAGAGTCCAACAGAACTCTTCCAAGAACCTTCTCATACCCTCTGATATGTCCCTCTATCCTCAAAGGGAAACCCTGAAGCTCAGAGCTGTGGACTGCAAACCAGGGGTGGTGGACCCTGATCCTCAAGGATCGCTGTCCTGTATGTTTTAGTTGTTTTCTTGCTCCAACACTCCTGATTAAGTGGTTGAATCACCTGTTCAGCAGCTCCCGAAGCTCTGCTGAAGCCTGTTAATCACCTGCTGATTAGAATCAGGTGTGTTGAAGCAGGGAAACAACAAAAACAATTAGATCCTGGAGGAACCAGGATCCCCAACTCCAAGCAATCGTGTCTAATCAGCTGTTCAGGTTTGATCCCATCTCTGTTGCTCTGTGGAGAGCACGTTCACACACTACCTGCTACAGTCGGCGTTGTGTTAACACCTCATTGCTCTAAACCGAGAAGCTCCACCCTCTTCAGGTCCTTATAGGTGGACAACCTGACTGTCTCCATTACCATGCACCCTGACGGCTAAGAGCTAATGTGGTCCCACCAAAGGCCAGAGGCCCACAAGTCAATCTACTTTGATCTTAACTCAGATCATTGTGGACAAATGGTCACACACTCACTGCCTTTCATCATGGTGTTCTTGAACGTGTCCTCCTCTGATCGTAACGTCTCTGTTCTCGAATCGAGGACTCGCCTTCCGTGTCTCTCCTCTCTCCCTGTTTCCTGTTTCCTGTCTCACACACAAACTGCAACAGACAGAAGAAAGAGAGATCAGAGAGTGTGCTCATGCAACCATACATCTGTTCCAATTACTGCTGTCTCGCTGTGTGTGTGTGTATGTGTGTGTGTGCGTGCGTGCATCCTGTGTGGTTGCCACTAGTGTGTGTTATACCTTCATATCAACACACATCCTGTCTTGTTAGCAGGAGAAACCATCTGCTTTTATTCTTATTATTGGGGCAGCTGTAGCTCAGGAAGTAGATTGGGTTGTCCAGTAATCGAAAGGTTGCAGGTTCAATCCCGGCTCACGGCAGAGATTGCTGCCATTGTATCCTTGGGCAAGACACTCAGCACACCTTGCCTGCTGGTGGTGGTCAGATGGACCGGTGGTGCCTGCGTCCAGAAGCCTCGCCTCTGTCAGTGCGCCCCAGGGCAGCTGTGGTTACGTTGTAGCTCGTCACCATCAGTGTGTGAATGGATGAATGATACACTGTGGTGTAAAGCGCTTTGGAGTCCTCTGACTCTGAAAGGCATTATTTAAGTGTAGGTCATTTGTCGTTTATTATTTAATTATATTGTACATAAGAACCTTTAATACAATGTTGCAGTAACTCAAAACCAAAAAGTATGGATTCATTAGGTGCCATAGCTGTTGAAGCAGATCCATGTGACTGAACCAACCGGACTTTGTGGTGGTGAGCAATCAGAGGACAGCTGTTGTGGTTGATGTGGCAATACCATGTAATGGTAACATGAGGAACTAGAGAAGGATCAGAGCCTCAAAAAGGAACTTGAGAAAGCCTGGAGAGTGAAGATCGGTGGTGCCCGTGATCATCGGGGCAGTAAACCCCAAACTGGAGGAGTGGCTAAATCAGATGCCAGGAAAAGCATCAGACATCTCAGTCCAGAAAAGTGCTGTTCTAGGAACAGCTAAGATACTGCAGAACCCTCAAGCTCCCAGGTCTCTGTTAGAGGACCCGAGGTTGGAAGGATGAGAACGCCCACGGAGAGTGAGATGGGAATTTTATCCACAGGTGATGCTCATAAAATTAGAATATCATGACAACATTGATTTATTTCAGTAATTCCTTTCAAAAAGGGAAACTTGTTTGTGAGATTAATTCTTTACACACAGACTGATTTAATTCAAATGTTAATTTCTTTAACTGACAACTAATGAAAATCCCAAAGGCAGTATCGCACAAAATTAGAATATCAATTAAGATCAATGCAAATATAGGAATTTTAGGCATGTTGGCTAACTGAAAAGTGTGAAGATGAAAACCATGAGCATGTACAGCAGTCAGTATTTATTTGGGGCTCCTTTGGCCTGGATTACTGCAGAAATGCAGCATGGCATGGAGTCCGTCAATCTGTGGCACTACTGAGGTGTCATGAGAGCCCATGTTGCTCTGATAGTGGCCTTCAGCTCTTCTGAGTCTTCTGGCATATTACATCTTCCTCTTCGCAATACCCCATAGATTTTCTATGGGTTAAGGTCAGGTGAGTTTGCCGGCCAATTAAGAACAGGGATGCCATGGTCCTTAAGCCAGGCACTGTCTGCAGGTCCCAAGTCCTGTTGGAAAATCAAATCTGCATCTCCATAAATTTGGTCAGCAGCAGGAAGCATGAAGTGCTCTAAAACGTCCTGGTAGATGGCTGTGTTGACCTTAGATCTCAGAAAACACAGTGGACCAACCATGGACGTAATATTTTTTTTTGGGGGGGGGACATGTCCCCCCCACTTTTTCCAAAGTCCAGTTTTGACCCCTGCACTTTTTACCATCCAAAAACCATATCACTTTATATTAAATTGACACTGGTTGAGCTCCAGGACCAAGCAGAAAACAATTGTTTGTGTTGAAGCCGGTTTCCCATTAGAACATACTGTAAAGATACCCCCTGTGTCGTTGTCGTCCCCCCCCCCCCCCCCCCCCCCCCACACACACACACACACACACACACACTTCTAAAGTGAAAATAACGTCCATGGGACCAACACCAGCAGATGACATAGCACCCCAAACCATCATTGGCTGTGGAAACTTCACACTGGACCTCAAGTAACAAGGATTCTGTACCTCTCCTCTCTTCCTCCAGACTCTGGGACCTTGATTTCCAGAGGAAATACAAAACTTGCTTTCATCAGAGAACATAACTTTGGAGCACTCAGCAGCAGTCCAGTCCTGTTTGTCTTTAGCCCAGGAGAGATGCTTCTGATGCTGTCTCTCCTTTAAAAGTGGCTTGACACTAGGAAAGCAACAGCTGAAACCGGGTCCTGCATTCGTCTGTGTGTGGTGGTTCTTGAAGCGCTGACTCTAGCTGCAGTCCACTCTTTGTGAATCTCCCCCACATTTCTGAATGGGTTTTGTTTCCCAATCCTCTCCAGGGTGCGGTTAACCCTACTGTTGCTTGTACACTTTTTTCTACCACATCTTGTCCTTCTCTTCATCCCTCTATTAATGTGCTTGGACACAGAGCTCTGAACAGCCAGCCTCTTTACTAGCAACCTTTTGGGTGTGTTTCAGTTGAAATTTTTGGAGTTTATGGACTTTGAAAACCACCTTGTGTAAGATGTCAATGGTCGTCTTTTGGACAACTGTAAAGTCAGCAGTATGATTGTGTAGCCTACAGAACTAGACTGTGAGACCATTTAAAGGCTTTTGGAGGCGTTTGAGTTAATTGGCTGAAATCAGTGTGGCACCAGGGGGTTTCATTATTGAACATTTTCACAATTCTAATATTCTGAGATACTAAATTTTGGATTTTCATTAGTTGTCAGTTGTAATTATCAAAACTAAAGATTTTTGTAACTTTATTGAAGCACATTTTATTTATCATTAAAAAACTCCATGTCTGCTTTTGTCTTTTAGAATTAACTCATTCATGTTTGTGCAATTTGCATTCACGCCTCCATCTCGATTCTTCTCAAATGAATGTTTTTTTATTTGTTTGTTTGTTTTATGTTACTAACAAGCAAAGTGAACATCCTCCCAAAAAAAAAGAAACCTTCAAAATGAAACTGATATATATTTACTTCTGGGTAAAGATCAGATCAATAAGGTTTGCTTTTGTTTTCTCTGTGCAATCTTTTTTTTCTAAATATTTTAACAAAACAATAAATTATATAGATTAATAATATAAAAGTGTTTTAAGTTCCTATATTTGACTTCCAGCTTCAGGACATGACTAACCCTGCCTTTTACTGAAGGATGAGGCCCTACCCGTTACAGTTTTGGGCTTATATAATGAAAATAAGCAATAATTTGAGCTAAAATTTTAATTATACTAAATATTTTAATAGTTTTGGGTTTATTTTTATAGTTTTTATTTAATGATGTTCATAAACTATTGTGTTCTATTTAAATTAGATAACGATTCCTTTATGTCTTTATTTTAGCTGTAAACCAGAACAGATCAGGCTCATTCGTTTGTTTCTAACCATTTTAACCCCTTTGTCCTTTGTTGCTGCACACCGACTCACTCCTCCACTCTGTCGCCTTCCCTCGTCTCTGTTTCCATCGCCCCATCATCTTCCTCTTCATCAGCATCTGTTGGTGTAACATCAACCCACTAGAAGCGACCTGTCTGTCATACTCACCTCCCCTTACCCCTGTCATCCATGCAAGGTAAGGAGTCCCATCATGTGACCAGCAACACAAATCTAACTGAACAGCAGAGATGTGTAGGAACGGGGTGGTCATTTGAGTGGGAGGGGTTAATGTTCATAGGAGAGAAGGTGGGCAGGAGATGTTAAAACACCTGGTGAGGACGGAGAGACAGATCTGTAAACGATCAGAGAAGAGAGGAAACCAAATCTAAAGCCATTCCTAAAAGCCCTCTGGAATCGATGAGGAAACCAATCTAGCAGACCAATAAAATCCAGTTATCTTCTTTCTTCTAGTCCCTCTCAGGCAGATATGACTGTAGCTGTTTCCAAGTCTCTTCTCACCATAATTGATCTCCCAGGAAGGGGAGAACCAGTGGTTCTTAATAATTGACTAACCAATTTTCAGCCCAGGAGAGGTAAGAAAAAGGAGCAAAAGGCAGCAGAGAGAGGCAGGAGGCCCCTTAACAAGCTTAGTCCTTGTTCTGCCTCTTTGTTTCAAGCTACACTTAGCTAGCTCTGATTGGGTGCTTTATGATCTGTTCATATAATCTCAACCATGTTGTCTCAAAAGCTCCTAAATTAAAGTTCTTTTCACTAGCTTTGTGTGACAGCTTTGCTTTTCTCCTAAATGTCCATTTAGGTCTGTTCCACCGGGCCGTAGCTCAGAGTGGTACGGCCATTTCCAGTTGGTCCGTCAACTACCAGCCACTGAAGTACACCAAGATCCTGGCCCGGAAGGTGGGCTGCACCTACTCAGAGACAGCCGACCTCGTCGACTGCCTCAGACGCAAGACCTTCAGGGAGCTGGTGGATCAGGACATCCAACCAGCCCGCTACCACATAGCCTTTGGCCCCGTGGTGGATGGAGATGTGGTACCTGATGATCCTGAGATCCTCATGCAGCAGGTGAGAGTCTGATGCTATGACCTCTGTTGGGCTGTAATTTCAGGTATGGTGATGTCACTCCAGATAAAGGAGCTCTTAGCTCTTAAAGAGCAAGTTACCCCCTACCTACTCTTACTCCGCTCCCACTTCATATTTGAAAAATGCAACAAATTGTGTTGCCTGATAGACCGAGAGGGCAGAGCTGCCAACAAATACCCACACACAGGCTCACAACAGCATTGTGACATCATAATGTACCAGCTAACATCATAGTGTACCTCTTAGCCAATAGCAGATTGAAATCAAATGTAGAGCAGAGTTTTTACCTGACGACAGTGCAACACTGATCATTTTAGACAGAATATGTGCATTTTAACTAAGATGCACTAAAGTGCCAAATTATTGACTACACGTGTCTGCAGCATGATTAGACACTCGTTTATATAGTTTATCAGCACAAAAGAAGTTGATTTGGGGGTGACTTGCTCTTTAAAGTGGTCCTTCACGCACATTTTTAACGAATTTGCAGTGGTCTCTAGTAGGAATGAATGCTTTGTAAGTCATACTCTGGGATAAAAAAAAAGCTCCGGTGCACCAGTTTCAACACAGAGCATTCAGCCAGAGGCGAAAGCAGCCTCAGATGACAAAATTTGGAATCTTATTTCCTGATAATGTTTGGCTAACAGCAACACGACTTCACCACTCACTCTGCTCTGCAACGTGCATATTTTATCTCCACAAACAACACAAGCCTGAAGGAGTTCTGCTGTGTAATGGAGTAGCTAATGCTAATGGTTAGCTTTTTCTAGCCAAGATGGTCTCCGCGGTTTCCTGGATGCTCAAACAACAGCCTTCCTTGCCGTGAGTCAAGATGGGTGAGTCCATGAATGTTTAGTAGATCTGTCAGGGTTTTCAAAGAGTTTCATCATCTGTTTTCCATCAGAAGCTAATGCAGGAGGTAGGTGTAGGAGACTGTTTTCATGTTCAGCCTGCATGAAAAACATAGAGTGGCTGATTTAAAAAAATCCTTCCATCCATTTTCAGCAGGTTTTCCGGAGTCAGATCGTGGGGCAGCAGCCTAAGCAGGGAGGCCCAGACTTTGCTCTCTCCAGCTACTTGGGCCAGCTCCTCTGGGGGAATCCCAAAGTGTTACCTGCCCAGCTGAGAGACATAGACCCTCCAACATATCCTGGGTCTTCCCTTGGGTCTCTTCCCGGTTGGGCGTGCTTGAAAACCCTCACCAAGGAGGCGTTCAGGAGGCATCCTAACTAGATGCCCGAGCCACCTCAACTGGCTCCTCTCAATATGGAGGAGCAACAGATCTACTCTGGGCTCCTCCTAGATGGCAGAGCTTCTCACCCCATCTCTTACGGAGAGCGGAGACAACTAGTTTTGGCCGTTTGTATCTGCAATCTCGTACTTTCGTTCACCACCCAAAGCTCATGACCATAGGTGAGGGTAGGAACGTAGATTGACCGGTAAAACGAGGGCTTTGCCTTCTGGCTCAGCTCCCTCTTCACCATGACAGACCGGTACAATGCCCGCATCACTGCAGAGGCAGCACTAATCTGTCCATCGATCTCATGCTCCAATTTTCCTCCACTCGTTAACAAAACCCTGAGATAGTTAAACTCATCCCCGTTCATTTCATTTATTTAATTTCATTTATTCATTTATAGAGCACCTTCCACAACCCTAGCAGAAGCCCAAGGTGCTGAACACAATAATAAAAAAGAATCACAATATTAAATACAATAAAAGATTTAAAAAAAACATACTAAAAACAGCAAAAGTACAGATTAAATAGAAAACAAGTTAAGACAAAGTTGCAAACCCCAAAGGTGAAAACGTAATAATGGGCCTTCAGACGAGACTTAAAAATCTGAAGGGAAAGCACCTGCCTAACAGTCAAAGGGAGACTGTTCCACAGAGTTGGAGCCAAATCTGCAAATGCACGATCTCCCCTTCATCTGCACTTAGAGCGAGGGACCACCACCAACTCCTGGTCAGCAGAACGAAAAGAGTGGGTGCGGACATGTCCAAGGAGTAAAGCCAATACTTGAGGCAGGACCTCGTCTCTGACCTGGAGAAGGCCATGGCCTTGGATTTAGAAGAACTGGTAACACTTTACAATAAGGGTCCCTTTATTAACGTTATTTAGTGCATTATTAAGCATTAATAAACCATTAAATAAAGTATTAAGAACTGATTTTATGAATTACATAGCATTACTAAACACAGTATTTAATGTATTTATAAGCTGTTAACTATTACTAAACCTCAGTTAATGCAGTACTAAGCTTTACATAACACTTGCATTATTTAATTACTTTGCATCATGTGTGTTAATTGCCATGTTAGTTATTGTGTTAGTTAATCCTTAAGAATTATTCAAGTAATTGTTTATTGTGGTTGCGTATTTGCAGCAAATAAGCAATTAGAAACAGCTAACTAATGCATCCATTTATCCTGCCCTGTACCTTGGATGTTACGTGGATGTTACCCTAACCCTTACTAATGCTGTACTGTGTTTATCTTCAGGAAGCCCTTACCTGACCTTAGGTAGGGTGAAAACTTTGATCCCATTTGGAAACACTTTCTAAATGCTTAATAGACTCCTAAGCATTACTTAACCATAATTAATCATTAATTAAATGTTGACCCTTATTGTAAAGTGTAAACATTTGTCCATTTATAAACACTTGCTAAATGCTTAATAGATGCCTAAGCATTTCTTAAGCAGAAATACAGTAAACATGAGACAATTATTTTGACTTTAATAAAATCAAGTTACTTTAGTTCATAAAAATCATGTTGAGTCAACATGATTTGTTTAAGCAGTTTCACGTGATAGTTTGACCCCAACAGGATGCAGATGTAGTAAATAACTTGACTCAACCTTGATGAATTTCTTTGGGCCAACACAAGAACTTTAAGTTAGGATAACAGAAATGCATGATGCTGAACTAAAGCTATTTAATCATATGGCAATCCTTTCCATGATCATTCAAAGAGTTATAGTTGTGTGTATTTAAGGAACTGGTACCCCATACTCCCGGAGTACCCACCACCACCACCACAGGCCCCTCCGAGGGATGCTGTCGAACGCCTTTTCCAAATCCAATAAACACGTGATTGGCTGGGCAAACTCCCATACATCCTCCAGGATCCCCCCCAAGGGTATAGAGCTGGTCCAGTGCTCCACAGCCAGGACGAAAACCACATTGTTCCTCCTGAATCTGATGTCCTCTTTTCCAGAACCCCTGAATAGACCTTACCAGAAAGGCTCAGGCGTGTGATTCCCCTGTAGTTGGAACACACCCTGCAGTGCCCCATTTTAAATAGGGGGGTCACCACCCCAGCTTGCTAATCCAGTCAAACTGTCCCCGATGTCCACACGATATTGCAGAGCCCTGTCAACCAACACAACCCTACAGCATCCAGAGCCTTAAGGAACTTCGGGCGGATTTCATCCACCCCTGGGACTTTGCTACCGAGGAGTTTTTTACCATGACAGTGAGGTGGCGTGTCCAGATCTTTTAAAATGGGGTGGCCCATGTGAGGCACAACTTTGAGCATGGGTGGCACCAATGGTTATGCTTTTTTTGTTTTACCCCCAAGCCTTTGTGGACAGTGAAAAGCCTATTTAAAGGTAAATTAGTGTGGTGGCACCTGGAGTGGCCAATCAGATTCCATGTGCTACCCCAGGCCACTCCCTGAACACGCCCCTGTGACAGTGACCTCAGCCAAGTCCAACTCAAAGTCCCCAGACTCTCCTTCCTCACTGGTGGATATATTGGTTGGACTGAGGAGGTTAAAGTTAGGGTTAGTATTCCACCCACGATACACAATGCCCCAAATAGAGGTCAGCAGCACATCGTCCACACTATAAACAGTGTTGGTACCGCATTGCTTTCCCCTCCTGAGACGCCTGATGGTGGACCAGAATCTCGTCGAAGGCACACGGAAGTCTTGCTCCATGGTCTCATCAAACTCCTCCCATGCCCAGGTTTTTTCCTCCGTGACCACCCAAGCCACATTTCGCTTAGACTGCCTCTGCAGGCCCACAGGCAAATAACACCCTTGACAGCATCCGTAATTGCTGATGTTCACCAGCGGGTTCGGGGATTGACACCACAACACTCACCGACGACCCTGCAGCCGCAGCTCCGGTCAGGCACCTCAACAATGGAAGCACGGAACATGGCCCACTCGGACTCAATGTCCCCATGAGCACAAAACACAGTCAGGGCCAGTCCCCCCCCCCCCCCCCCCACCCCACCACCACCACCACCACGCACCCCCACCCCCACCATAGACAGAGGGAGGCTACCCTCTGATTCACCAAAAGGAGAAAATAACACATTATTTTGGAAAAAGTTTTAGTAAGAGTAAATAAAAAGTGTTGACAGATTTTTTTAAACAAAGAACTGGAAAAGGTGATGCAAAAAGTCAGTTTTCTCACATGAAGATGTGCTGAACTTTTACCAAAAGACCCAAAACTCAAACTGCAGCTCTGACACAATTGTAAAAGGCATGAATATGTTAGAGTTTAATGTATTTTAGAGCCATTTAAATTTTGAATTACATCTCTACATCAAAGCAGAAGCTTAGAAACAGCAAGGAATTGGCTGCATTTAAAGGCTTCTAAAGTCATTACATTGTGTTTTTTTTTTGTTTTTTTTGCAGATTTCTTTGCCATTTGCGTTGCCATGGTAATAGATATAAGCAAGCTGCTTCTGTATGTTAGTGTTCAATGTCTTATTATTTTTCTGTGTTAAAGTGTGTTGATAAAATACGCTCTGGTTTGGAGCAATCTGGTACATGCTGCCAATGGTCGTGTAAAACGAGTTACTTTTGAGTGAAAGAGTACGAAGTAACTATGTTTTGATATACAATTCATGTGTACTCCAAAAAATGGAGGTGTAGCAACCTTTTTTTATCTTTAAACAGACCCTTCTCATAATCCAAACATCACAGAACTAAAAAAAGGACTACGGACAAAAACACATCGTGAATGCACAGAAGAGACCGTTCTCATGCTCTGAGGTCATGTGGCCTAGAGCGGGAGAGAAAGAAAAACATCACAGTATAAACTCATCAGTAGCATCATGTTATTAAAATGTTGGTGGCTTCAGATTAGTGGTTTTATGCTGAACTTGTGATTCCTCTCTTTGACCACCAGGGGGAGTTCCTCAACTATGATATCCTTATTGGAGTGAACCAAGGAGAGGGACTGAAGTTTGTGGATGACAGTGAGGATAACGATGGCATCTCTGCAGCAGCTTTTGACTACACCATCTCTAACTTTGTGGACAACCTCTATGGATATCCTGAAGGTGAGCCACACATGCATCTATTTTCTCACATAACCCTAATAACGTTCTCACCAGCTCAGTGGCCTAGAGGTGCAGTGTCAGCCCTGGAACTGAGAGATCAGAGGTCAAATCCCAGTCAGGTCATACCAAAGACTTAATTAAAAAAAAGGTCCCAATGCCTCTCTGTTTGATGTTCAGCTTCAAGGGATTGGATTGGGGGATAAGCCGCCAAATATTTCCAGAGCGTGGCCGTGTCTGCAGCTCCCCACGGTGCTACTATACCACCAGGGTGCGGTATCTCGACTACACCAGTGTGTGTGTGACAACTACGGGACTTTAATCGAAATCTTTTTTTGCATTAACATTCTCTGCACATAAATAAAAAATAACACACCATCTGTTCTAGAATCCCAGCTTCCTGCTGAAATAAAAGTCTTCAAAACAATATGGGGGAAACTGTGAGGAGATAAAGATGAGTTCAGTGAAGTGTAACAGCCGAGACAGGCCTACTAACGAGCTAGCTAATCATGGAGATCATCTTTCACCGCGGTGGGTCTGTGCTGTGGCCTTTGGGGTTCTGTGGGCTCTAATGCTGTCACTCATCAGCCTCTAGGGTCCAACTCCCAATCGCAGTACCGTTGCTCCTAACAGATCAGCCTGCAAACCCACTCACAGCAGGCTACCGTCAACATACACACATGGTAAAATAATATTGTCACAACCTCTCTCATGTACTTGTTAGACAATCTGTAAACTGAGAGGCTAATTCCTTCTCGGTTATTACATCTCACATTTTTATGTATTTATCCTAACCCTAAATAACTTTAGCCTTTCTCTTCACTCGGTTTCCTTTCTTCCCACAGGTAAAGACATTCTGAGGGAGACCATTAAGTTCATGTACACAGACTGGGCTGACAGGGACAACGGTGACATGAGAAGGAAGACTCTGTTAGCTCTATTCACCGACCACCAGTGGGTTGCACCAGCTGTCGCCACTGCCAAACTCCACGCTGAATTTCAGTCCCCAGTTTATTTCTACACGTTCTACCACCACTGCCAGACTGAGACACGACCCGAGTGGGCTGACGCGGCACATGGAGATGAGATACCGTACGTGTTTGGCGTCCCAATGATCGGTGCAACAGACCTGTTCCCATGCAACTTCTCGAAGAACGACGTGATGCTGAGTGCTGTGGTCATGACTTACTGGACCAATTTTGCCAAGACAGGGTAGGCCTCATTTTAAACTGACCTCTTGTTAATACTAGCATAGAATACTTCTGTTATGACATCAAGTGCCTTTACCTCAAGTTTGTGAGTGAAAGAGTTGCATTCTAATGAGCTTTGAAAGAAAAGCGTCTGGACTTCTTTGAGTTGCTTGAAGACGTTTCACCTCTCATCCGAGAGGCTTCTTCAGTTCTAAGGTCAAATGGTGGAGAGTCCCAGATTTAAACCCAGTGGGAGTTTCCCCCCGAAGAGGGAACAAAAGACCCCCTGATGATCTTCTACATAAACACAGAAAAGAAGACCAGACACCAGCGAGGGAGGATAAGAAAGACAGACGCAACAACCTTGTCATCCCCTATGTAGCCGGTGTATCAGAGAAACTCAGGAGGGTTTTCTCCAAACACAACATACCAGTGTACTTCAGGCCCAGCAACACACTCAGACAGAAACTGGTTCACCCGAAAGACAAAACTCCTAAACACAAACTGAACAATGTGGTGTATGCTGTACAGTGCAGCGAGGAATGCCCAGACCTCTACATCGGAGAAACCAAACAGCCACTTCACAAGCGCATGGCACAACATAGAAGAGCCACCTCCACGGGACAGGACTCAGCAGTCCATTTGCATCTAAAGGACAAAAGTTACTCTTTTGAGGATGCTAACGTTCACATTTTGGACAGAGAGGACAGATTGTTTGAAAGAGGAGTAAAGGAAGCCATTTATGTCCACTGTGAGCAACCATCTTTGAACAGAGGCGGTGGTTTACGACACAGACTGTCTGCCATCTATAATCCAGTTTTGAGATCCCTTCCCAGATGCCTCAACGCCCACGCATATCCTGGGCCATCTGACCTCAGGAATTCACATGATAGGGTGGGGCCAGGCTTCACAATGAGCTCACCCGAAACTCTGGCTGAATAGGACCCACACCCACCCTCACACCTTGGCTCATGTGTTTATGTAGAAGATCATCAGGGGATCTTTTGTTCCCTCTTCGGGGGGAAACTCCCACTGGGTTTAAATCTGGGACTCTCCACCATTTGACCTTAGAACTGAAGAAGCCTCTCGGATGAGAGGTGAAACGTCTTCAAGCAACTCAAAGAAGTCCAGACGCTTTTCTTTCAAAGCTCCTTAGACTACAATGACCTGGATGACTGAGAACCTTCACAGACAAAGAGTTGCATTGTTTTCTTGGTACATTTATTCACAGCTTGAACTAAGATTTTCCTTCTGTTTTCCATCAGTGACCCCAACCTGCCTGTCCCTCAGGACACCAAGTTTATTCACACTAAGCCTAACCGCTTTGAAGAAGTCATTTGGACAAAGTTTAATCCAAAAGACAAGCAGTATCTCCACATTGGCTTAAAACCTCGAGTTAAGGATAACTACAGGGCGAACAAGGTGGCCTTCTGGTTGGAACTGGTCCCCCATCTCCATAGTCTACATGAGATCTTCCCCACCACTACCCGGCCTCCACTGGGCTCTGGCCCAGGCCCAGGCACCATCAGACCCTGGCCTAGAACTCCAGGCCCTCGAACAACTCGTCACCCCTATCCAACCTTCCCTTCCGAATCTGAGCCTGAGGGCTCAGAGCGTCCACACCAGGACCTCTTTCCTGGAGACACCCGAGACTACTCCACCGAGCTGAGTGTCACAGTTGCCGTGGGAGCTTCTTTGCTCTTCCTCAACATCTTAGCATTTGCTGCCCTTTACTACAAGCGCGATAAGCGGCACGAGATGCGACGACATCGGTTGTCCCCCCAGCGAGGCGTTCCGGCCAATGACCTGGCTCACAGTCAAGAGGAGGAGATCATGTCCCTGCAGATGAAGCATTCGGAGCATGATGCTCACCACGATATGGAGCCCCTCCGTCCGCATGATATCCTCCGACCATCCTGTCCACCTGACTACACCCTGGCACTGCGCCGCGCCCCGGATGATGTACCGCTGATGACACCGAACACCATCACCATGATCCCTAGCACCATCACCAGCATGCAGCCCCTTCATGCCTTCAACACCTTCCCTTCCACTGGCCACAACAACACCCTGCCCCACCCCCACTCCACCACCAGGGTATAGTAGAGACTGCCTCAATGGGGCACCACCTAAGGACCAGGAATACTGGACTTCCTCCTGATCTAGAAGGAAGGCCTCTGGATGTGGGCCTTTATTCTATTTCCTCATACTCTTGTTTCTCTACAAGGTACTCCGCCTTCTCCATCTTGTGCTGTACAACTTAGCAAGTCCCTCCACTGGTGGTGTATGAAGACCTCAATGAACTGCGTGGAGCAGCTGATCAGTTTGGAGGTGACTTAGATTTTTCAAAGATGCTGTTTTCGAAGAGGGTCCACACTTTCTAGTCTAGAGGAACTGTCAAAGAGACTAACGGGTTTTGCCCTTCGGTGTTCTGGTTCGTTTCTTTTTTACTTTGATGTCAAATTTTATCGGTCCTCTAGTGTGTTAAGTAAATTTATTTTGCTTTTCTACATCAGTGTCTTAACTACAACTTTGTTCCTCTCATATTTTAATTGTGATTCTTTTCATGACGCTGTTCTGCTCTTGATGTTCTACAGTGTTGGAAGGGGGTTGGGAGGGTAAATCACACGTATGGTAAACATGGCTATTAAACATTTTTATCTGTAATTTCATTCTACCAGCATTAATGGTGCCAAGTATGTATTAGTGTTTGCTTTCTCATAAAGGGAAGAAAAAAATCTAAAAAATATATCCTTTGTACCACCAACTAAGGGAGGCTGTTCTCATGACCAAGTGCCAAACTGGCTGTCTCGATTGTGGTTTTCTTTTATTCATTTTGTTTTGGTTTTTTATGTACTTGTTTAAATGTGTTATTGTGAAAAGATTTATTTTGCTGAAAATCTAGATCTAGAGAAATGCTACTATATATAGTTCTATAGAAATGTGTACAAAGGAGAAAGTCTATAAAGGGGGTTTCTCAGCAGGGATCTATGCATGAATTATTTTTAACTACGACAAAAAGAGAGGAGGCAGAATTTTAGGATGCACGTTTCCCAAAACAAATTAGATCCTTTTGATCTATTTGGAGTTTTCTCTCAGATAATAAGCACCTCTAAACTTCATAAAATCATTACATTTCTCTTTGCTACAGATTGCGGATCATTTTATTAGATTTCTAATGATTTTCTGGTATTTTACCAAGCAGTTAAAGCAACAAACGAACAGAAAGCAGCTTCATCCAACTTCTTTATCCATCTGTCAGTATGATGATGATCAGCTTTAGGCTACATTACATGCTAGCTTAGTTCTTTATTTCATTAAGCAATGAAACTTAAAAATAATTCTCCACCTTCCTCTATTCTTTTCATTGACCTGGTTTCATTTTTTTGTTTTTTATTATCATTATTATTATTATTATTATTATTATTATTTAGAAAAAAACATCAGAATCACTTCCCATTAGCCTCAATTGCCCCAGCTACCACTAATCTGATGAATTAGAGAGTACATCTGTGAGTCTGGACCTGACGTAAACTCATTTTACATGTTTTCATTCTGGGTTCAGACCTGTTCTTGTCTCATTCAGGATTAGCTTTATGAGCTGTAGAACACACTGAAGAGGGCCTGTTAGTCGTCACCATCTGCAGAACACTCCTGGAGATAAAACTCATGTGGGGATCTCCTCAGCAGGGTAAACAGCTGTTTCTGATTGTGCTCCTTCTGTTTGGGTAAGAATATTTAGCTCTACAGTTGAGCATAACCCCTTCGACTTCTCGGCTGAAGATATCAAACATGAATCATGGATAAAATTCAGATGAAACCAATCTATGAACAGAACTGTTTGTGCCCAAAGGAACACCTGCAGGGTGGGGGAGTTTGTCACATTTGCTGTCTTTGCTTGTGCTCTAGCTTTAGCCTGTTGGTTTTCTATTTTACGGGGTGGGAGAGAACTGGAGCAAGGTGATGGTTTCCAAACGCACTGGAAGGGAGGTGTGCACAACGTAGATGACGGAAAGAGTGACATGAGTGAGCGGAAGGTGGACCCAAGCTGCTGAACAGGACAGCAGCTGAAGAAATGGGAAACTATGAGAGTAGAGAAGACTTTGTAGAGAGATGGAAAAGACTCAGAGCTTTAAAACGAACCATTAGAAACAGGTTCAGAAACATGGCTGCTGTTCTCCCTAGCCAAAAGGAGATCTGTCTACATGGACCTGTAGGTCCATCTGAACCCGTTGGTCCTCCTGTGGAGAAGAAGGTGTTGGGGGGTTCTGAAGTAAACCTAAACACTATCAAATCGCTGGAGACTGTAGACTCTGTTTTATAAGCTAACACTAGAGGGCGCCACTGGAGCAGATTGATTTGCTGTCAGAAGGAAACATGAAGAAGAAGAAACCAGAACAGGAGGTTTGATGGACAAACATCATCTAGATGAGAATCAAAACTGAACATTTTTACGTGTCAGAATCAAACAGATGAAATCTTTGTAAATATTAAGTTTCTTGTTTGTTTGTTTTTCTTTGTCTGTTTGAGGTTTTCTGAGTGAGTGAATGATGATTATTTTAGTCAGAAAAAGACAACAGGTGCAGTTTGAAACAACTAAAAGAAAAGGCAGCTTGATGGGAGCTTTTAAAAATGGTTTTCATTGATGATTTTTGATGACATCAGAAGAAACAGCAGTCATTTTGGTTTGTAGTTATATTATTGCTCATCATGTACCTGCTGTAGCTCCATGATTCCTGATCAGAAAAGTCTCTGAAGCCCTCAGAAGCCCAAAGATACTGGATTGGCATCTAACCCTGTCGCTCAGCTCCTCTAAAACAACTTGTTTCCATCATTTGATCTGAAATCAGCTTTGAAATGTTTCACTTTCCTTTGTGATCCAATTAGAGTCTAAATGACCTTAAGAGTGTTTCTAAGAATCAGAGCTCCTTTCACTGATTTCTGCTCAGAAACAACAAACAAACCTAAACTAAGACAAGTTTGTTGAGTCAAACATGAATGGACTGATCATGTAGCAGAGTTTCCATGTAGCCTTTGATCCACATGTGGGACAGATGTGAGGATTTGACACCAGAAGTGATCTGATGGAGCAGAAAACAGCAGACTGATGCAAACATGTCATCAACTGTTTTCCATGTTTAGCTCAGTTTTCTTTGTAAATCTGCTCCTGTTGTCTGGTTGTTGATCTCCTCTGCTGAATTAAAAAAGCAGAAGCTGAGATGAACAAATGTGTTAAATAATAAAACTTTTAAAATGATTATAAAAAGAAAAGTTAAATCATATAAATGAATGAGGTGATGATATTTCTGTTGCTTTAGAAGTTATTCTACACTGTATGCTGTGATTCTGATCTGGGAAACATTAAAGACATTCATAGTCAGACTGAATTTTGTGTCTTTATTCAGTCAAATGTATGTGACATGATAATATGGGAGTTAAAGGACCTGTATAATACTATTTTAAACCTTTTAGAGCAATGTTAGGCCCAATATGATTACTATATTGTTGACACTATATTAAGATCATAATGTAAATTATTTACTTGAGACATTTTATCAACCTGGAAATAAGATGCTTATATTCTATGAAACCATGCCTCCATCTAATTGAATTCCAACTATGACAAATTGCCCATCAGAGAACGGAGACATTTCCCAATAACATGGTTGTCATTAAGTCCTCCCCTCTGGAAATTCTCCATCGGCAAATTGGTTTGCTTACACACACTCGGACAGAGAAAAGGCAGCTGGGATGAATTATTGTCCCACTCCATCCCAGTGTTGTTTTTTGGCAGCCGGCTTAGTTTAATTCTTGGTTTATTTTGGACAAAAATGCGTTTTAGTTAACACAAATTTGAGAATTTAGTTTTACAAAAAAATCAAAGACCCCTTATGAAGAAAAACATAAATGTAAACAGTCTTCCCTCACCCGGATGCAGGTCACTGTGGCTCCCCTTAGAGCCAGGCCTGGAGGTGGGGCACGTTGGCGAGCGCCTAGTGACCGGGCTTTCACCTACGAAGTCTGGCTGGGCACAGCCTGAAGTAGAAATATGGGTCCCCCTTCCCATGGGTTCACCACTCGTGGGAGGGGCCAAAGGGGTCAGGTGCAGTGTGTGACGGGTGGTGGCTGCAGGCGGGGACCTTGGCAGTCTGATCCTTGGCTACAGAAGCTGGTTGCTGGCATGTTGAATGTCACCTCTCTGGTGGGGAAGGAGCCTGAGTGTGTGTGTGAGGTTGAGAGCTTCCAACTAGATATAGTCAGACTCACCTCAACGCATAGCTCTGGCTCCGGAATCAGTTTCCTTGAGAGGGGTTGGACTTTCTACCACTCTGGAGTTGCTCCTACTGAGAGGTGCCGAGCAGGGGTGGGCATACCCCCTTATCTGGGTGCTTGTACGTTGAGGTTTACACCTACGTGTGGGGGGGACGGGACCTAAATGTGGTTTATGCACCAAAATACAGTTCAGACTACCCACTCTTTCTGGAGACCTTGAAAGGGGTGCTGGAGAGCGCTCCTTCTGGTGACCACCTCGTTCTGTTGGGGGACTTTAACAGTCGTGTGGACAATGACAGTGAGGCCTGGAGAGGTGTGGTTGGGAGGAACGGCCCCCCTGATCTGAATTCGAGCTAGGTTATGTTATCAGAGTTCTGTGCTAGTCATGGATTGTCCATAATGAACACCATGTTCAGACATAAAGGTGTCCATATGTGCTCTTGGCACCAGGATACCTTAGGCCACAGCTCGACTTTGTTATCATTTCATCTAATCTGCAGCCGCATGTCTTGTACACTCAGGTGAAGAGAGGGGCCGAGCTGTCAACTGACCACTACCTGGTGGTGAGTTGGCTCTGATGGTGGATGAGGAAGCTGGTCAGAACTGGCAGGTCCAAACGTATTGTGAGGGTCTGCTAGGAACGTCTGGCAGAGTCTCAGGTCAGAAGGAGCTTCAACTCCCACCTCTGACAGAACTTCCAAAATGTTCTGGGGGAGGCGGCTTCTAGCACTTGGTTCCTCATGTCCGAGGTTAGACCTCCAATCACACAGGTAGGTGGCAGAATGGGGTTAGGTTCCGGATCCTGGTAGGGCAAATGTTGGCGAGATAGGGCATCTGGCTTGGTGTTCTTGGAACCAGGTCTGTAGGAAATGATAAAATTGAATCGGGCATTCAGTCCGAATGCGCCCTGTTCCATGGCTCCATTTTTGAGGCAGTCAACCAGAGCTGTGGCCGCAGGGTCTTCGGTGCCTGTCGAGACAGCAACCCCCAACACCCCCCTGTTGGACACCAGCGGGTAGAGATGCTGTCAAGCTGAAGAAAGCGTACTATCAGGTATTTTTGGCCCGTGGGAGTCCAGAGGCAGCTGATAGATACCAGCAGTCCAAGTGGAATGCAGCTCGGGTGGTTGCGATGACTAAAACCCAGGTGTGGGAGGAGATTGGTGAGACCATGGAGCAAAACTTCCACACGGCTTTGAGGAGATTTTGGTCCACCATCCAGCGCCTCAGGAGGGGAAAACAGTGCACTACCAACACTGTTTATAGTGGGGATGGTGTGCTGCTGACCTCTACTCGGGATATTGTGGATTGGTGGGTGGAGTACTTCGAAGACCTCCTCAATCCCACCGGCACATCTTCCAGTGAGGAAGCACAGTCCGGGGACTTTGAGTTGGGCTCTCCAGTCTCTGGGGCTTAGATCACTGAGGTGGTTAAAAGCTCTACGGTAGCAAGGCTCTGGGGTAGATGAGTTCCTTAAGGCTTTGAATGTTGTGGGGCTGTGTTGGCTGATGTGGCTCTGCAATAATGCGTGGACATCGGGGCAGTTTCTCGGGACTGGCAGTCTGGGATGGTGGTCCCCCTATTTAAAAAGGGGGACCGCAGAGTGTGTTGCAACTACAAGGAGATTGCACTCCTGAACCTCCCTGGTAAGGTCTATTCAGGAATTCTGGAGAAGAGTCCATCAGATGCAGCTCAATGGGGCTCCCCTCTGGATCCAGGCTTGGAGGTGGGGCATGCAGGCAAGTATCTGCTGACTGGGCTTTCACCCATGGCACTAAAGTCTGGCTGGGCACAGCCTAAAGAAGAAACATGAGTCCCCCTTCCCTTGGGTCAGGTGCAAAGTAGAGTGGGCAGAGGCTGAAGGCAGGGACCTTTGCAGTACGATCCTCAGCAACAGAAGTTTGCTCTTGGTACGTGTTTCCTCTATGGTGGGGAAAGAGCCTGAGTTGGTTTCATTTCATCCCATGACTTGGGCTCCTGAACCAGATTCCTGGAGAGGGCTGGGACAGTCTGTTGCTCTGGACTTGCCCCCACTCAGAGGCAGTGTTGGGACCAAAGGTGGCTCATCCATAGGGGGAAGTAGGGCGCCACCCCACCAGTCTAACAGGAGAAGGGAGAAGAAGAGTCTCAAAATATAAAAAAAAAAAACATAAATTTTTAACTAAACAACCTATACATCATACAAACTTTAAGTTCTGTGAATAATCTGCATTTAAGTGTTGTTTAAAAATGTTATTTACAATTTTAACACTACCAAAGGGTCTTGTGACATATTTCCTGTTATTTTGGGTGCAGCAGTCTCCACCATAAACCCAATCCCAATGCTCCCACTGCACCTTGCAGTCTTCAGCAAAGTGCACTTCAGGTGTGTGGTACACAAGTGTGCAAATAATTACCTAATTGAGACAGGGAGCATTGAGTCATCGAACGTAATGCATGCCAGGATGCTGGTTGCTGTGATACTTTTAAAGACTTCATTAACAATTTTCAAACAAACAATCAAACTATTCGTTGCTGCTTTGCCTAAAAGTTTTAGAGCATCAACTATTTGTCCTAAAATGAACTACTGTCATAGAAAATACATATGTTCAGAAAATTTACTTGAGCCTGTTGATTGACGGTAATGCAGGTTAGACCTATATATATATCCTGTCCACCCTCCAGCATTATACCATAAGCTACATCTCACTCTACTGCCCAGACTCTATTCAGGAGTTCCTTACGGTTCACCACCTGCTCTACAGTTACCCATCTCTGGACCTCACCTACTCTACCACCACTCCAGCTCCACTTCCCTCCCAGAATTCCTATGGGGGAGGTAGGGAAATCCTGAATTGCATGCCCTTTATTGGCAAGCGTTCTCGCGTAACCTTGTCCAACTTCCTTTCCCAGGTAAGTTACGATTGCTTTGACAAACTCACACTACGCAAGGTTGACTATTAAGCCGGCATCTGCCAACCAGCGAAACAAAAGATGCAATGTTTCTAAGTGTGAGGTTCAGGAGGTGGTATGAACAACAATGTCGTCTAAGTATGCACTGTAACTGTTAATGTTACCAAAAATGCTGTTAATTAACCTCTGGAAGGTAGCAGGGGCATTTTGCATGCCAAACGGCATGACGGTCTACTGCAGGAAAGCATCTGGTGTGACAAAAGTGGATATTTCAGATGCCTGCTTTGTTAACGGCACTGTCATGACTGTGGGGAGTTTCCTAACCCAAGAAATGCGGAATCAAGCGAGGAGACGTAGGTAAGGAGAAAAAAGCAAATGTTTATTAAAGGGGTAACTGAGGGTGCATAGCCAGACGTGGTGGTGATGCTGAACACAGCTCCGGGCGGGGTCTGCAGAGATAGACACTGGTGGGGGGTTTGGCAGAGAGAAACAGAACTTAAGACTCAGTCTCTGTGGACCTTACTGTGGACTGACAAGCCTGGGGATTTTGGAAGGGCAGGCAGGACTGGGGTGAGAAGCGTCAGAGGTTATCCAAAATCCAGTGGGGGGTGAGCTTTGGGAGAGCGGGTCGGTCCAGGCGTGGAGGGAGATCAGGCTCGAATGTGTTGTCCAGGTTATTGCAGAGGTGGTCTGAGGTGAGGATAAGGCAAAGTAATTTCAACAGCAAAACAAGTGAGCACAAGACAGGGACAAAGACTATAGTTAACTCTAGTTGGCGAGAGCTACCCAAAGTGAGTAATGATCCGGCAAAGTGAAGTGATCTCTCAGCTCCTTATGAACGCTGGACCGGTTGATTGGCAATAGCTTGCAGTTGGCCGCTCTCCGGAACCGCCCACCTACAGAGACTTGATGCAGAATGAACAGAATGGTGCTAACCCACCCCAGATCCTGACAGTGAGTCGGTTACGTGGACCGTTACCTCGGCCTGGGTCAGTCTTAAGTGCTGTAGCACTTGTGTACGAATGTCCCAGGTCAGGGCCCCGACGATGCAGGAGGGGGGTATGATGGTGGTAGGCTCGAGTTCCTTGTCTGAGGAGAACTGTTGGGAGAGGGCGTCTGGTTTTGTGTTCTTGGCTCCAGGTCTGTAGGAAATAATGAAGTTAAAATGAGAAAAGAACAATGACCAACGGTACTGTCTGAGGTTGAGTCTTTTTGCGTCCTTG